CTGAATGACTTTTTACATACATCACAGCAAAATGGCTTTTCACCAATATGTATGCGTTGATGTGTCTTCAAATTACTATGCTGACTGAATGACTTATTACATACATCACAGCAAAATGGCGTTTCACCACTATGTATGCATTGGTGTTTCTTCAGATGACATTGGTGACTGAATGAATTATTACATACATCACAGCAAAATGGCTTTTCGCCACCATGTATGCGCTGATGTGTCTTCAGATGACTCTGCTTTCTAAATGACTTATAACATACATCACAGCAAAATGGCTTCTCCCCACTATGTGTGCGTTGCTGTTTCTACAAGCTACTCAGATCACTGAATAACTTCTTACATACATCACAGCAAAATGGCTTTTCACCACTATGTATGCGTTGATGTGTCTTCAAATTACTCTGCTGACTGAGTAACTTATTACATACATCACAGCAAAATGGCTGCTCCCCACTATGTGTGCGTTGCTGTTTCTACAAGCTACTCAGATCACTGAATACTTATTACATACATCACAGCAAAATGGCTGCTCCCCACTATGTGTGCGTTGCTGTTTCTACAAGCTACTCAGATCACTGAATACTTATTACATACATCACAGCAAAATGGCTGCTCCCCACTATGTGTGCGTTGCTGTTTCTACAAGCTACTCAGATCACTGAATACTTATTACATACATCACAGCAAAATGGCTGCTCCCCACTATGTGTGCGTTGCTGTTTCTACAAGCTACTCAGATCACTGAATACTTATTACATACATCACAGCAAAATGGCTGCTCCCCACTATGTGTGCGTTGCTGTTTCTACAAGCTACTCAGATCACTGAATACTTATTACATACATCACAGCAAAATGGCTGCTCCCCACTATGTGTGCGTTGCTGTTTCTACAAGCTACTCAGATCACTGAATACTTATTACATACATCACAGCAAAATGGCTTTTCGCCAGTATGTATGCATTGGTCTCTCTTCAGGCTACTCTGAAAACTGAATGACTTATTACATACATCACAACAATATCTCTTCTCCCCAATATGTATGCGTTGATGTGTCTTCAAATTACTCTGCTGACTGAGTAACTTATTACATACATCACAGCAAAATTGCTTTTCACCACTATGTATGCACTGGTGTTTCTTCAGGCTACTCAGATCACTGAATACTTATTACATACATCACAGCAAAATGGCTTTTCGCCACTATGTATGCTCTGATGTGTCTTCAGATGACTCTGCTTTCTAAATGACTTATTACATACATCACAGCAAAATGGCTTTTCACCACTATGTATGCGTTGGTGTTTCTTCAAATTACTCTGCTGCCTGAACGACTTATTACATACATCACAGAAAAATGGCTGCTCCCCACTATGTATGTGTGTCTTCAGGCTACTCAGATCATTGAATGACTTATCACATACATCACAGCAAAATGGCTGCTCCCCACTATGTATGCGTTGATGTGTCTTCACATGACTCTGCTGACTGAATTACTTATTACATACATCACAGCAAAATGGCTTCTCCCCACTATGTATGCGTCGGTGTTTCCTCAGGCTACTCAGATCACTGAATGACATACTACATTCATCACAGCAATATGGCTTCTCCCTAATATATATGCTCTAATGTGTCTTCAGATGACTCTGCTTTTTAAACGACTTCTTCCATCCATCACGACAATAAGGCTTCTCCCCACTACGTATGCGCTGATGTGCTCTCAGAATTATCTGGTGACTGAATAATTCACCACACTCATTGCAGGAATATTGCCGCTCCTCACCACATACAGGTTGAAGTACATTCAAGTTACCCTGGAAAATGAGAATAAATAACATGAGAAATCCTAGTAAGAATAGAAATGAGTTTGAAGCCTCAGTACAGTGAGATAGTAAATCAGTAGGGGTGAAAGTGGTCACAGAGAGGGAAGGGAGGGACAGAGAGCACACCCCCTTGTGTGGTGTAAGCCTGAGTCCATCAGCATGTGTGGAGGTTTCTGAGTCAAGAGTAGTTAAGCTCCACTGCGACTGTCTCACAAATTGCATTATTAAATGAAATTATGCATTTGTAAGGCTGGACAGGCATTCAAATAATAGCGGATAGGCTCCTAGAATGAAATAACAATAAAGGCTGTATATGTATGTGTGTATAATAGGCCTCAAAAAGAATAATAGTATAGTGTAAGTTCAATAGATATGTCTACCATGATACCATGAGCAAATCCATATGAGTCATCTCCTTGGTTGCCACACAAGATCCCTTGACAATGTAAATGTTTGGCTTTTGCCAGAAAATGGCCACTATTTCTGGATGTGTGAAATGGTATTGGGCACACCACACTGTGTAGAAGCAGGAGTGCAAATGCTTTCCAACAGCTACATATGTATATAAAATTTATACAGAAGTATGCAGTCACTTCACAGTTTATGATACCACACAATCTCAAAGCGCGTGTGCCACTTCTCGAAGCAGTCCATGACACACAGCTCAACGTGACTCTTTGTACAATAGAAAAAGGTTGTTCCTGCTTTTCTTATTTAGTGACACACATGACGTCTTTGTTTCCCTTTGGTTGGCCAGTGTTGTGAATGTTTCACCTCCAGTTGACTCAGTTGGGTGCCAGATGAACATGGCCTCCACCAAGAAACGCCACTGACCGTGATATTCATTTTTGCAATTAAAGAATCATCTTTGGAGAAGGGGCGTGTCCAGGAAATTCGAATAAATTATGTCTAATTACAAAGCAACACTCTCACCTGTTTCTAATACTCACAAAATATTGATGCAAAGTAATAATATTGTAATGTGTTTCGTTACTGAATACGCCGTAGAGATCGTTAATTGGTTTATTGAACAATCTACAAATATCGGCTACAATTAATTATCACACTATTACGGGTTTCCACACTTTACAAACCCTACAACAAAATCTCTTAACACAATCTTCACTTGTCTTCACGTACTAATAACGCGGGAGCTATACAAGTCTCCCTGAATTACACACTCCGAGTATAACTGTACTACAGCACTCACTATGTCTGGAAAGCACACGAAAAGTCTTCCGCTCGCTGACTTCTTAAGTATCGCACACTCGCAGGCTGCTATGTTTCAACTCGGCGACTGTTACTTTATAACTCGGCGGTAGCTCCAGGACTAACTGACTGGTACCAGCTGTGCAGCTCACTTATATAGCTGCAGTGCTTGCCAGTTGCGTAATGAGTGCCACGTCACAGTAGGAAGTTGATTACGGGTAAGTAGCGTTGCGCGTTACGTCACCGTGGAGGGGAGTGGCGGGGCGGGAACTCGACTATTACCGTAGTAAAGCGTGCGTTACTTCACCGCT